TTTTTCCTGTATGGAGCAGCAATCACATGTCAATAGTATTGGTGATCATGTTAAAGGACCTTTAAAGCTCCAGGCTCGAGAAAGTATAAAAGTCCTCAGATTTGACTTACATATGTGAGACTGAGTCCAGCATTCTCAATAGCCTCACCTAGAAAGAAAATGAGAAGGATGCATTCTAGAAGAAAATAATATGGAAAATAAGCAAAGCAAGCATAATTGTTTTGTTCATCACTGGAGAAAGAAATTAAGTACACATAAGGAAACACAAAGACTGTGTATTTGTTTCAAGAGGTGGTGTTTCTTAATAAATATATAAATATAAATAAGTAATATGTTTATAAAAATAAATATCCTTTAGCTTTTTACACTTCTAGGATACTACATAATCAAAGACCTCTGGCTAAAGCATGGATTGAATCTCTAGTTTACTATACTCTTATTATACACCATCCTCCCCTCTGGATGGTATAAAAGATTATATATATCTAATATAATAAGCCATCATGCAACTAGATCCATAGGGCAATACTTTGTGTCGATTGTAGAAGTCCTTGCAACCTTAGGAATGCTATAAATCAGCAGCCCTTGCTCACCAATCCATGTGCTATGTTCATTCCCCAAGACCATTTTGTTTTAATCCTCATTTTTCTACCTCAATTCTGAATTTTCATTTTTTTGATAAAAAAGTGCTTCCATTATTAAGTTTCATTAACAATCAAATAGTCTTATATATCTTTATATTCACCTCATAAAAACCATTAGTCACTATAGCCCATTCTACAGTTGCACACTTTGCCCTTTAACAATGTGACTGGATGGCTTTAAGGGTCATCAACACAGATGTTTAGTGAGATATATGTTCCTAACATTAATATAAATTATGTTCTCACTACATAATAAGGGATCTAGATCATCTATTTTCTCTTCTCGATATGCCTTATCATTAAGATAGATCTAACATTGGATCAGAAGGGTTAGTGATCTTATTCATATTGTGATGATTGATAAAATTATCAACCTTAATTAAAATGAATTTTATAATTATATATGTGAGTGCTTGGAATATAAGAATAGCCCCTGCTTATATACAAAAATGGATGGACTAGATTCAATCCCAAATGAACAATCAATATGCTATAGTACTATAATTAGTTATACACACATATATTTACAAACCTTATACTATCCTCCCCTCTAGAAGATGACAATAAGTTAAGTGGAACATTTGGAACTTTTGCTAAGCAATTACAAACTACTATAAAACCATTAACAAAGTTGTTGACAACTATGACTAAAACAAAACCCAAAGCCATGGCATAAATATTAGTTGATTACGAAATCCTGATACACCAATTGTAACTCCATGTGCAACTGCCAAATGTTTAAATCAATCATAAAGATATAACTTTGAACCAAAGTAAGGGACTTTGAGAACCACTGTAGTTTATAAAATGCTATTGTAGCAAACAATACATCTTGCCTTCAAAGTTGCTTGCTAATAATCCTCTGAAACAATTGTTAACTCAGACTCATAACTATAAGTAGAACCTGCCTCTATATCTTCTATTCGGTTAACATCTAACACTTATGTTAACTTAGATTTACAACTTTCGTCCTTATTTAACACTGCATATAGGAGGTTGCATTCACTCTATTCATCCTTCACATCCTTTTTATCCCCTTCTCGAGGGAAAAAAAATTTCTGAAGTACTAGCTCTATTTGGACTCACTACACTTGTCCTTACTTTATTATTTATATTCAACCTCACTTCACTATTGCATCTATGCAATTTCACTACGTCAAAATTGGATATTCCATTCAGACTCACTGTATTCATCTTCATTCCACATATTGTTTGTCCTTACGTCAAAATTGAATATTCCATTCGGACTCACTATATTCATCTTCATTCCACATATTGTTTGTCCTTACTTCACTATTGTATCCACTTGTTTTTACTCCATCATCAGGTTGAACTCCCATCCATCCTTTTTACCCCCTCCTCCGAAGAAAAAAAGCTTGAAATGTTAGAGAAAAAAGGAGAAAATGAG